TCATCACTGAATAATTCAGTTACATGTACATCTAATGAAAAACATTAATTATATATAATATTTAAGACATTTCATACCTTCAAGAGTTTCATCTTGTTGTAAAGTCCTTTGACTTATTGGCATTGATACACAGTATGGTGGTAGGATCATGTGAGAAAGATCACGAAAATCACAACTTTTGCATTTATCACTTTTTATGAAAGCATTGAAACAAGATGAATGTAACTGTTAAAACAGTTAAGTTAAGGATAAAGTATTATTATTATCTACTGACTGTTATTCCACACCATCCACAACGAAACCCAGTTAAGCACAGATCAGTAAAACACGGCTTAGTACACATTTCACATTTTGCATGGGATGTAAGGTTACCCTCTATCCAATGATGATCAAAATCAGTCTGTAAACACATACACCATGTAAAACAATGATTAACCCAGTGTGTGTGTCTGCATGTAGTTACTTTAGTGGTGCAGGTAGAGGAACACTCTTTACAATTATTCAGTTCATGGCCAATACAATATTTATGAGCATATCTACGACAGACTGCATAGAGGATCACATGATAATCACATGATCAGGATCAGTTGTGCTAACCTTTACAATACATTGCTGATCCTGTTATTTTCTTTCTGCAAACATTACACCATTTCCTCTTATTAGCTGATGATTTAGGACTGATCCAAGTGTGACCAATAGGATTCTACACAATAACAGTAGTAATAATAACAATAGTACTGCTACTAATAATAATGATAATAGTAATAATAATAGTGTTACTTACTGTTATCTGCTCCGACAGTAAGTGAGTACAATCAACAGTTAACGAAGACAAGCATCTCTCATGACACACGAAATTACACACTAGAGGAAAGAAAGAAAAAGAGATGAACCAGCTAATATAAAATTGATTTTTAACTCTATAATTAGATTACAGTATTAATCAAGTGTTAATTATGAAAATAAATAATAAACTAATAAATGCTAGACTGCAAATATTGCTGTCTGTCAAGTGTATCATTACTATAAACAATTTATAAATGCATTTTGAAATTTTAAATGCAATTTTTTTAAATTTTGAAAAATTTTGAATTTAAACCTATCTCAGGTGGTAAAACATCCAGTCTCAGGTGGTAAAACTCACCTCTTGATAAATAATTACAAGTCTGAGGTGGCAAAGCGCACCTCTTAATAAATAATTACAAGTCTCAGGTGGTAAAATGCAAATAATTACAAGTGACTCTTTTTATAGCACCGTGTCCACTATCTATGCTTAGAGTATGCAGGTGGTACATAGTTTAGATAGGAACAATACTCCTCCAGGAGGTACTTAGCTTGTTTAAAACCTATTTATAAGATACAGCAAGATCTTACCAGTGCATTGGTAACCTTGGTTCATTAGTCCCCAGAGAAGCTCTGAGCACTGGTGGCAATATGTTGGTTTGTAGTAGGACTTGACTTTAAACTCGTGTCCAGTTTTAACGGCAGCCGTGAGTGGATCTTTAATCTTGTTATTTGAAATGAAATTCAACGGTCTATATCCGCCAGATTTCACAGTGCAGCTCATCTTCCTTGACTCCATTAGACAACGATCATGGCTAATTGCATTACACACTAAATAAGGAAGCATGAAATCACACTAATTATGATAATTCACACATCATCTTTAATAAGGACACCAGTGGGCCCACACTGCCTATCCTTAGTACAGAGGTGCCTCATTTTAAAGGCATTTTGTATAAGCTTACATAATGTCCTCATTATAAAGGTGTCCCATTGTAAATTTCCCAATCTCAGGGTGTCCTTATTAAAGAGGATGTATTGTATATAATAGCAGCTATCGTTTCCATTGTTGTATGAGTATAGTAATGACTCAGTGCTATTGTGTTACATTATGATGTTAAAGCATATACCAAACATGTAATTAATAAGGAAGAAGGAGGTTAGTATGCAAACAGTTAATCAGGGAGTAGCAACCACTCCTAAATTTAATGAAAGAGGACCCGGCCCCTGCACAACACAGATAATTGGAAGAGGACCCGGCCCCTCCACAACATAGATAATTGGAAGAGGACCCGGCCCCTCCACAACACAGATAATTCCCTGGCCAATACATATTTGTCCTAGCGGTATTGCTTAAATGTCAAATTAGATTAGCTACCTAAATTCTACTGACATAATAGAAATTAAATCACAGCCAGAACCTACTCACCAGTGCATTGGTACCCTTGGTTCATGATCCCCCATAGTAGGTCTGTACAGTAGTTGCAGTAAGCAGGCTTGTAGAACGACTTTAATCTGAAATCATGACTCATTATCCTTCCTCCTTCTCTTGAACCTATTAAGGAAGGTAATGTGTTTTTATAGCATGTCAGGAAGTATAGGGTTACTTCTTATCACACTCCCTCATTCTTGTGCTTAATAGCAAACAAGTTGATTAACACTTTCAAGTATTGGATAACAAAGCTATAGAGGTATGGTTTAATGCTAGTCAACATGGATTACTGCTAAATGGCATTGGAGTCATTGCTGTTGTTATTGTTGTTGTTGTTGTTATTCAATAAACTACATTTCCATCTGGAATGTAATTAAAATAACAACAGTAATAGATAATGATAATAATGATAATGCATCTATACAGCTCTTCTGCTAAGTTGAAGCAAAATTCATACAACTTTATGAATACAAAGAATTATTAATACTATTGCTACTACATTAGTTGCATCTTGTATTCTTATTATTATCATTATTGGTTGTTATATTATTATTATTATTATTATTATTATTATTTTATTATAAGAACTATGAAAAACAACAACAACTTAAAGAGAAAAAACAAAAACAATATGAATGCCACCCCTTAAAAATGGGGCATTAGATCCAGTAAGCAACAGATTGTTCTTTTATTTGTAAATACCTCACCTTGTTATTTCTTGCTAGTCTCCTACCAGCTAATCCCTGGTCCTGGTTGCTGTTTTTCTAATATTCTCTGTATCTTCTTCTCTTCTTTGGCTTGAACTGAATGCTAGGGCCTATGCTGCTGCAATTAGCTAATTGTATTTTAATTGGGAGACTGGAGCTCTTTCCTTCCTTCCTGCAATGTTGTTCCTTTTTACTTGTTTTTATAGAGAGAACTCCTGTAGTAGGTCAAAAGTGCACTTGTAAACGACACTAGCGGAGCCGGCCACTCCCTAGAATAGGCGTGGTCAAAATATCCGTATACGCATCTATACTATAGTATACGTACGTATACTCATACATTAGGTGTGAACGGAGCTTTCAAATCCTCCGTAATCCTTTTCTTTTGGTAACCATTATGGCTCTTTTTGGTGACGGGGGAAGAACAAGAAGGGAACCACGGAGCGTTATCGAGTTCAGGGCGGGTAAGATGACGCTTTCTGGCACGACAGTCTCCCCTGATGTAAGAAAAGGGCTCGTTTATATGAAATACGAGGACAGTTTAATGCACTTTTGTTGGAAAGACCGAGGAAGTGGTAAATTGGAAGACGTAAGTTATGGCTGACATTAATCGGGTGCATAATTAATTATTAAGAATAGCTGGCTAGCTGAGTGTGATTGGTTTTATTAGGGGTGTGGCTTAAACAGAATTATTTTAATTATTATTAATCAAGTGGGTGGAGTTTTATGTTAATTAGTCAAAAGTAATTGTGTTTTGAAAGTGACATTAACCAGAGTGAAAACTTTTACAAGAAACTTAATCATCTCCAGACATACAAATTATGCTTGTTGTTATAAATAGAAATCTTATTATTGATGTAAAAGTTCGTGAGAAATACATGCAATCTTAATTACAACCTGTCTAGCAGACAGACCGGTTGTAAGTGTAATTACTAATCACATGTACTTCAATCCAATTACTGTATCTATTTATGGAATGTCACAATGTACTCTTAGTCTATTTATAATGCCCTAATCTCATTACTGAGGTTCTGTTTGTATTATGTGTTCCATTACAGGAAGTAAAAGCACAGAATGCCTTTAATTAGTTGTTTATTTTTTATAAGTCGCTTTGGGGGGGTTTAAATTTTGCTATGCAGCATCCTCCAGATCATATAAGTACATTCACATGATTTATTATCATTATTTTAGGATTTTATAATATTTCCTGGCGATGCTAAGCTCCTTCGTGTGTCTCAGTGCACAACTGGTCGAGTCTTTTTGCTAAAATTTAAAGACAACGGGAGAAAGTACTTCTACTGGTTGCAGGAACCGAAAGATGATAAAGATGAAGACTACATGAAGAAAGTAAGTAATAATTGTGCAATTGCTGTTTTTGCTTGTTCCATAAAATTTGCATTTTAAAGAAGACATACATGGTATGTCTTCTTAGAATGACAATTAATTTGGGTAGCTTGAGAATGACAATTAATACTTTAATGGTAATTACCGTGTATGGCTATACACCTTATACATGTATTTTGCGGGGATTAATTTTTTTTTGCGATTTTCGCATTTTAGAAAAATTTGCGAAATTAAAATCTGAAAAATAACATGCTGATTTATGGTAGGTGTGGTAATTACATTAAAATCTCGAAATTTTTATTCGCGAATACAAAAATCCAGCCAAATCGCGAAATTTTATACCTGTGAAACATAGCCGTATACGGCATTTTATGATTGATATCTTAATTTTTGAATATAAAATTCGCAAATAATAATTATTAGCATTTTCTTTTATTTATTAATTGCCGTTATTAGGTCAATGATTGCATTGATAATCCAACAGCAGCTGTGGCTGCCAATTCTGAAAGTGCCATGGGTGAACACAGGTTACCACAAAGCTATATGGGTACGTACCTTTAGTCCTGCTCTGTGTACTGATTATAGAGGGAATTTATGTAGCAAGGGATCTTTACTTTAGACGTACATAACTTAATAATGTTATTAATTAAGGAAAAACACTAAAGATATTAGGGCCAACACCCAATCCCATGTACCCAGTAATTTTAGAGGGGGGGGGGAGTTTTTGCAAATTTGGCATTTTGATAGCCGTTTGCCAAAATAATTAAAACCTGCCATTTTATTTGCTCAATAGCACATGGCCACAAGTCCCCTAAACCAGTCATTAAAATTAGCAATTTCATCACTCCAAAATTATCAGCTATACAGTACACCAAGAGCACTAAGATCAGTGGACTTATGATGTAATTTAATGTACATGATATGAATATACAAATTTAAGGGGGGGTGTGTGTGTGTGTCCTTCCTATTATTAATATTGCCTTTCCCTTCATTAATGATATTACTTGTCATCTGTTTATCCTTTAATGTCTAATTCATTGTTATCCTTCTGTCTCTCTTTCTCCATTTCCTTTTTCTCATATGAACTTTCTGTACCTTTGATACTTTTATTCCATTCTTTATTCTTCCTCCTTCCCTTCCTCCTTTCTCTCTCTCTCTCTCTCTCTCTCTCTGTCTCTCTGTCTCTCTCTGTCTCTCTCTGTCTCTCTGTCTCTCTCTCTCTCACTCTCTCTCCCCCCCTCTATAGCTAATCTTCTTCATGGAGCTGGTTCTGATGGTACAGTAACTCACCAGCAGCTGTTAGAGTTACTAGCAATGAGTGGAGGAGCAGGAGGGGGAGGGGGAACAGCACCCACTGGTACCGGAGGAGGTGGCGGTTCTAACAGAATGGATATACTTCAGTAAGTATAGTGTCAGATAATTATTATATTTAATTAATTAATATAGTGGGCGTGGTCCTGGGTTAGGTGCTGGGCATGTCATTCCAACTGACAGAGCACAACAAAGACCGTAAGTATAATGATATTATTTATAAATTATTTAAAAATTTATTTTTATCATGTGCGTACAATGTACATGTACATGTACATGTATATTATAGACAGCTCCAGATAGGTGACCTTCAAACTGCATTGGAGTCATTACAGATGCCCCCGCCCCCAGCTGGTGAGTAAAGTCATGCGATACTATTGTGAGACTGTTTCTAGGTGGATCTGGTGCTTCTCCTTCCGGTAGGAGAGAAGAGGGAGAGAGAGAGAGTGGCCTCCAGTTGAATGAAGTGCTTACATCTGAGGCTTTGCGTCCGATAGTAAGAGAGGGTGATATTGGTAGTGACCTTGCCCCTCATTTACCACCTACCAATGAGGACACGGAGACTGCTCTTACTTCACCGCAGTTTCAACAGGTATATAACTTTATGTTTTCTGATGCATATGTATATGTTCTTATGTTGCACAGAAATTTTGAGCTGATTCTGATTGATGAGTTTTTAAAGTTGCTCATAAAATCTGGTCAAGTACCCTGTGCTATAGTACAGGGTACTTCATCAAAAATGACCAAAATTTACTAGGAGAGAATTTTCTATTTTTATTGCAGTTTTTGATGCATATACATGTACTTATGTTGTGTAGAAAGTTTGAGCTGATTCCGATCAAAATTGGATTTTTTACGAATTTTTAAAGTTACTCTAAAATCAGACCAAAGTCCCTGTACTATTGGCCAAATTTTGCCAAAAATGACTAGGTGAGAATTCTTCATTTTTATAATTTTTTCTGATACATATACATGTTCTTATGTTGTTTAGAAAGTTTGAGCTGATTCTGGTCAAAATTGAATTTTTTACGAATTTTTAAAGTTACTCTAAAATCGGGCCAAAATCCCTGTACTATAGTACAGGGCCATCGGCCAAATTTTGCCAAAAATGACTAGGAGAGAATTCTTCATTTTTATAATTTTTTCTGATGCATATACATGTTCTTATGTTGCGTAGAAAGTTTGAGTTGATTCCGATCAAAATTGGACTTTTTATGAATTTTTAAAGTTTCAAAAATCTAGCTGCACTATACTAGTACCAAAAATGGCTGGAGAGAACTCTCTTTGTTTTTTATAGGCTATGTCTGTATTCAGTTCTGCTCTGTCCAGTGGTCAATTGGGTCCTTTAGTGAATGAGTTTGGTTTGAATACAGGTGTCTCTAATGCAGCTGCTACTGGTAATGTGGAAGCGTTTGCTGAAGCAATGGAAAAAGAATTGAAGGAAAATAAGGAAGAAAAAGATGAAGAAGGAGGGGCAGGAGGAGGAGGAGAGGATGAAAATAAATAAATAAATAGAACTGTGTGAAAACTCTTCCTCCATCTTGTTGTTAACATTATTCATTGTGTAATTGGCAATTATTTAGTCTGTTATTGTTCTATTTATCCGGATTGCCTCGCCCACTTTGTGTAAAATTGTATTTTACAAGTCATTCGCTTGTCTTGTGACAAAGATTATTTCACACTAACAGAAAGAGAGAAGTCAGAGAACTTAGCTATATAATATAGAGAGGCTTTGGCACTAAAGAACTTCTAATACCACAAATATGAGCTACGACTCGGATGTTGGTCAGTTTTTATAATTGTACATGTATAATATCATTTAATGTATTGTTTTGTTTTGTTTCAAATTTCGTTTCCATTCTTAGCTGCTGCCACCACAGGGCGGGACACTGACTGGGATAAGATTATAAAATTATGCGACAGAATAAGAGAGTCCTTTGGATCGGCAGCGTAAGACATACACATGTATATATACTAATCTGATTATCCTCTCTCTCTCTCCTATTATACTTACTTTCTCTTTTCTCCTTTAGTATGGGGTCGGCGTTAGGTTCTGTAATGAGACGAATAAAGCACTCGGATCCCAATATTCAATGGCAGGCAATTAATGTATGTCATTTCATTTTATGATACATGTACATGTACATGTACCTAATAGTTCACTTTTAATTATGCGTACTTAGTTTTAATGAGGGATCTTTGAAATAAAGTAGCACGTAATTAAGAAAAGTGCACTAAAATTAGTATAGCCAAACTCTTAATATATTAAATGTGCTAAGTACACACAACTTGGCATGTTATTTTAAGCTTATTATCATTTTGTAGCTGCTAGAGGCGTGTGTTAGTAATTGTGGTAAGGATTTCGAATTGGAACTCTCCAAACCTTCATTTCATTCGCAAGTGAAGGACATTCTAACATCAGTGAGTAACAGAGGGATGGGGAGAGTTAATTTCATTTTATAATGTTATCTTACGTTACGTTATTTAATGTCATTCATAGCGTACAGTAGATCAAAGGTCAGTCCATAGGTTAAAGACGCTGTTAGCAACTTGGGCGGCTGATTATAAGGGAAACTCTCAAATGAGGTCTGATATTTTTTCTCTCCTTTGTCCCATTGTTCTCATTGTCACAGTGCCCATATACATGTATGTACTTTTTATTTCTCTCTACAGTGGTTTCAATAGCTTCATAGAGCAGTTAATACGTGATGGTCTCATTGTATTACAGGGCAATCAACCAACTTCTAGTACTGCTGGATTCGGTGCACCTTCGGTAAGTCTCAATGCATTACATGTACATTAGATACAATGTATGTTAATATTGTTATTTTCATAACACACTCTTATTGTGATTTCATAATTATTATTGTACTTCTTTTCAAGATGTACAGCTCTGTGTCGCCTCCTCAGAGAACAAGAGAAGATGATGATTTGCAAAAAGGTACAAAGTTCACTCACAAAATTAAATATATCGTATTTACAATTATAAGTTTGGCTTTGGGCCAAATAAAGATTCAAATGCGTACATATACAGCTTCTTTATAGTTTATGTACATGTACATGTACATTTATATGTACAAAGATTTGTTTATTTTGGCGATTCTTCAAGAAAACTAGATTTACATGTACATATACATGTACATGTACATATACAAACAATCATTGGCAATTTTTTGCAGCCATGTGTCATTGAGCATGTCCGATTGAAAAAAATGGTGGATTTTATGCTGACGCTTTTCTTCAATCTGCCAATATAAATTCCCTACCATTATATTAATATGTACAGTGTACATGTACATGCGGTAATGTACTGTATTTGATATGTTTCTTTATTGTTAGCTATAAGATTATCACTTGAAGAGGCTCAGTCTAAATCAAGTCCTTCAATGTATCCAACCTTCTCTGACTCGCCTCCAACACACCATCCACTACCAGCTGTATGTTGAACACATTTACCGCCTTTTTATTTTATTTTGTGCTTGATTTTGTCCTCCTAGTCTTCCTCCGCCAATCTGACCAGTTTTAATGTGAGGGCAATTTATGATTTTGAGGCCGTCGAAGATAATGAGTTGTCCTTTAAAGCTGGAGAGGTCATCAATGTTATAGATAACAGGTAAATTTAATTACATGTAATAATACATTGAGCCAATGCTTATAAATACAATTCTGGAGTTATGAGCATTTTCGAGAGCTAGAAAAATTTCGAAAAACCATGGGCTGACTATATAGCCTATGATAGTCTTTTCGAAAAATGACCCCAAAATTACCCCCAATTTTTATTACATTTTCTGATACATATTGATATCCTTTTACAAAGAAAGTTGAGGTTCAATTCCCGTGTACAGTATATCATTAGTTATGTATTGAATTCCTTCAGCTGGTAAACAGCATCTGTTCATTTGTTGTTGTCTTGTTGTTACACACAGTGACGAGAACTGGTGGAAAGGGAAGACACAATTAGGTACTGGCCTGTTTCCGGCTAATTTCGTATCACCTGATCTCAGCGCCTCGCCCGAACCAGGTACAGTACATGTACTTAACATTGTATAGCTGCCTATAGCCTGCTTTAATTCTCTGTATTACTATACTACATGTGTATAATTTTAGTGAGGGGTATTTGTATGATTAAAAGTTTATTTTCATATTTTACTGTCTATTTTATTATTGTATTAGTTCGGGGCGAACAGAAAGCTACTGGTAATAATAATAATAATACTAATAATGGAGGTGTGACAGAAGGGGCAGGGTCAGGGAGAGGAGCAAAAGCTAAAGTGACTGAAGTGAACGAGACTCAAGTGGATCTGTTGCTGGACATGCTCAAGAATGCCGACATCAGCAGTGAGAACCCAGAAGAACTTAAAACTCTAAACGAATTAGAAGGTAATGAAATTATAAATAATAATTTATTTGTAAATTGTATTGTAGCTGAATGTAAGTCTATGAAACCAATTGCCGAGAGTAACATTGAAGGATATGACAAGTAAGTGTACATGTACTAGCTGTTGTGTATCATAAACATTTTCTCTCCTACTTCAGACAACTAATGGATATGAATGAAGTCAGTGAAAAACTTCAACAAGCTCTATCCACTTACAGACGGTAATAATAGAATTAATTAATTCTTAACTACATTGTACATATTCAATAGATTATTGCAAGAGAAGCCTCGCCTATTACACAAAGCCACACCCCCTGAGGCCCAGCCCCCACCCTATCAGTACAATACAGGAGAGACGGAGGATTATTATGCTCCGCCCCCTCCAGACGTGACGGGTACCTACCACGGGTCCTTTAATGTAGGAGGGGGTGGGTATAACCCTCCGTATGGAACCGGATATCATCCACCCACTCAAACTGGGGCCTATGCCCCACCCACTAATGATGTTGCCCCGCCCTCTTTCAGTTCCTATCTACCATCATTGCAGCACCAGGGTCCGCCTCCTAGTCATCAGGCCCCACCCACTAATTATCAGTTTAATGGCTATGATCAACAACAGCTTCAAGGAGGAGGAGGAGCTTATGCTCCGCCTACTCATGAGGTTCCCCCACATCATCTATCACCTAATATGAGATCACACCCACCAAACAGGTAATGCAACATTAAAATTAATTAATATTTATTATTATTATTGTTATTGTTATTGTTAGGAGTCCTCCAATGTTTCATCACCAGATGGTAGGAGGGGGCGGGGCCCCAACAGCCGCTCCTAACACTCTTTGGATGAATTCACCACAAGCACAACCTTTGCTCTAAGTATTGTTTAACGATAATAATAATTAATAATAATTAATGATGATCGATAATTTAGTCAGCTATAAACTGTCGTATACTTGTACTTATATTTTAATTACATTACCTATTGTTAATTATTATTGATTATCATTGTCAATTATTATTAATTTCTCTTGTTGATTGACTGTACTATTATTACATCCTCCATTTTAAATTATTATTGACGATCTTATATCCACACTGGCCTGTTCTGTGTACTACTGTATATTGCATCAACTGGACGAATAGTTACAACAAATAATTATTATGTATGCAAAATAATTTGTAAGTATTTATTATAGTAAGAACATTACGTGTACACGTATGTACAATGTATCAGAAGTTCAGAACAATAGCAAATAATTATTTGCTATTTTCAAGAAGTGGCTCCCTCAGTCTTGTATTTTCATCTCCAGGTATCTCTTCGTACTCCATTCTGTTCTTTGGCAATACATTTAGCATGTTTCTCATTTTTACCCAGCAAACGAACTTGCTAAGCCTGCTATTAATCTGGAATCTCTTCAAGAGATGATAAGCCACTAAATAAAAGAAGAGAACCACGATTGGGCCAGCCAAGATGAATACGTATGTTTCAGCAGCATCCTTCTCGCCTGTTGCTCGGTAGTAATAAATCATAACTAAATAGCAGATCAATATGTTGTACAAAACGAACAGATCGACTATATTGGTGACTTTGCTGTGATACGGCTTAATGTATGATTGTGCCACTGTGAATAGAAGAAGGGGGATCATTTGAGCTGAAAGCATCACTAGGGGCTTGTGCCCTCGTAGAAATGTGTAACAAATATAAATGTATAACAGTAACCAGAGTCTTAATCCGAACCAGAATTTGTAGCGATTGCGATAAGGTCCTTGATATGAATCAACAAATGGCCGTATGTATATTGAATATGGTCTCAAGTATCGAATGGAGAGGAGAAGGGAACCAAAAGTCGTGAACAAGAGGAAAGGGAAGAGTATGAAGATCAGTGTGAACAGTGCTATGACTGTCAGAGCAATGTGTCCAGGGTCCTGTCCATAAGGAATGCTTCCATCAATGTACCAGACTGTAAAGTCCCTCTCTGGTGTGTGTATGGTGACTGGAGTTAGTATGTTGATGACGGTGAGGAGCAACTTGGCAAATGAGAGGTACAGCAGCGTGGCCACCACCTGTATTGAGGAATGGGCAATAAAGTTTGCAATTTTTGTGGAGTGATAGCTACTGATGACTAGACCAGCAACAATGAGCAGAAGAAACACTGGGAATGCAAAGAAGGATCCACTTTTAGTGACCGATGTCATGTGACTTGAGAGGCAAGTCGGAAGACTAAGAGTATCATTTAAACATGAGAAAAAGAATGCAAACACCTTGATGTACAATGGTTTTTTATCCAACTTATGATATAAGAAAGTGGCTTGTATGTTTGCATAGAAAATGATGGTTCCAAGGGTTTCGTTGGCAATAGTGAGTCGAGTTAGGAACAGCACGAGGATGGTCAATAATGATATTACAATGACACCAACAATGGTCCAAATATGAAAATACCTGCACTTAAGGCACTCTGTTGTTCCCCATGCTACGCTATAGCCCTCAAGACACTCACCACAAAGGACTCCTGTTCTGTGACCATGACACATCTCATCCCAATCCTTGACATTGGCTCTTGAAATCCCATTCACACAATAGCCAGATGGACAAGTAGGAGAATAGCCTAGCACTTTCTTGATATTGGCCCCTGATGATGAATGCTCTAGTCTGTCAGTATTATTGTTGTAATACACTGGTCCTAGCCATGCGTTTGCTTTGATTCCTATTTGAAAGGTGTTGATATCACACTCGTTTGTTATGTTGTTTTCCAAAAGGAAAGAGTGACATTTGCATCCATCGAGTTTCAGTTCAAATCCCAAAGGACAATCATTCACATTGAAACTGATGCTCAAAAATGGCAATTGCCCCAAAATTGCTACATGCGCGTAGGTAGTTGCTGAATGCTGCATACCTAGTGTATAAAAAATGGTCAAGTTCAACATTGTACAGTCTTTACTGCCAAGCAATTGGACTCTTTGTTCTGAAGGCACTGTCCATTGTTCTGACTTGTCTAATGACTTGTCATTAGAAATAGTTACTGCCACAGGAGAATAGACTTGTTTTCCATTGCTGTCTAAAGCAGAAATGTTTATTTGTATCAGTTTCCCTGGATACACTCCAGTAAGGCGATACTCAGTTTTATTTGGTTCATTGCAAAACTCCAATTTAACAGGAGGCGAAGACACATTTTGATTCATTGCATAATCTTTTGGACTATATTTTAAAATATGCGAATTGATTGTGTTCTTACATTTTTTACTTATTCCTTTAAAATAGATTGCATCTCCTTCAAGATATGCAGCGTTTTCAATGAAAAAGAGTTCTCGGCCGGTTTTTTCAAGGAAATAAACTGGACAGTATTCATTTTCAGAGTATATGGCTCCTCCATATGAGTATGCTGTGTTTTCTATAAACTTTACTATTGCCAGAGAGTGAAACACCACTAATGAATTTGACTGGAGATTCAGAGCTGCACCGTGCAGAGCTCTGTTCTTTTGAAACAAGATGTACCCAAGCAATCCAACATTTGAAGAGTAGGCTGAGATGGCTGAACCCATATTGTATATGAAAGAAGTAAAACCTACAATTATGCCAAGTTTTATGTTGACAAACTGTATTGCAGGTATTTTAGAGAAATATATTAATTTTCTGCCAGTTGTGGGTATGCCATTGTTTGTGACAAAGGAGTCCTTTAATGTAATGGTGAAATCAGCTTGTTCAGTAACCTTGCTTCTTTTATTATACTCCAAAAGAAAACTGTGTACGTATAAACCAAAAGCACCATAGGAAGCTACATTATTTAGAAATTCTACTGTGTCCAGAACAATTGGTGGTACCCAAAAGTCTTTATTCATCCCAATAGCTATATATGCTCCACCTCCATACCCAGCAGCATTTTGAGCCATTATTGAACCATTGTTGAGACATATAATGCATTTGCTTACTTGATCTGGTTTGAGTTTGACAGAAACAGGTGCTACAACTACAGAATACACAGTCAGACCCCCTCCATTTGTTGTCGCATCATTTTGAGAGAGTATGAAAGTATCAAAATGAATGAGAGGTCCCAAAAATCTTCGCATCTCATACAGCAATAAAGCACCTCCACCCATCGTGTTATGTATCAAATGCAAGTCATAGAACAGTATTTGTGATGTATGATTAAAATTCACATCTCCTAGAAGAATAGTCAGTCCACTTGAGCTTATGTTATAAATGGGGACCCTTGTTCTACTGTGCTGAAAGAACTTCTGTACATCTACACGATGGTACCAATTGACATTACATTTGATCCATAGAGTCTTGACATTAATCTGAGTGGAATTCCATTGACTTGAGCTGTAATAGTAAATTAGCAGACCACTGGTAATGCAAACTGCTTTATTGTCCCTGTAAATGCAGAGGTTATCGTTGCTGCTGTAATTTATAGTAACGGTTTCAATGTACACCATTCTAGAGTCACTTATTATCATCCCATAACCGCAGTAATGACCTTTTATTGTGATACCACTCACCCTGACATTAGTGCTACCTATGATTGCCAATACTGCACTTGTTTCTTGTCCAAAATAGATCCTTGAGGTATTGATAGAGGCTACGAGGGAGCCAATATTTCCTCCACAGTGATGAAATGTAAGCCGAGAAATGTTCAAACTTGTTATATTATAAAAACCTAGGCCACCGCCACCATGATTACCATCCTTACTGCAGATAATTTGAGCTGATCTTGATGCACTGTCGCTGGAGAGTATGAAATTAGTAAATGAGCTAATCATGCATGAAACATCACTGCTCAGTATGTGCTCACCATGTGAATCAAGAAATAGGATGACACTTGATGATAGATTGCCATATCCTTCACCACACAAGTAATAATGGAGGGATCCATGCAGGCTTGCATTATTCCTTGTGCTTGGTTTAACATGTATGATCTCAGTGCATGTAGCAATGCCTGTTAAACAGAGCAGGAACAACCAACATTGATAATGCAAAAGCATGTCCATCACTATAGTTATCGAGTGCTATACTACTTAATGATCAGTTAACCCTATTTATAAGATTGGCAGATTATCACTTGAAATTGAATGAGGCATGGTGTAACTCTTATGGGACACAACATGCTATAGTATATTTTCCTTAAAAGTATGCATTGCTAAAACTGTACATGTAAGAGCATAGTGTGAATTGGCAGTGGACATATGCATGCATGATAAAAAATTTTGGGACCTATATTATCAATCTTTTTGATCTTGGGCTCTGCACTAATAACTGTCTAGCTTCACTACCCAATTTGCAAAACTATAATAGTTGATTAAATAAAACATTATGGCTGCAAAATAATTATAATGGCCAAAGTGATATAAATTATGGGTAGGCGTGGTTTCACGTGTCATGGAGCTGGTAAGTTTCTTGCTTTACATTTTACTTGGTTTCTTTCCAAAGTATTGTCTAGGTAGTAGGCCATGGCAGCCTTGTTATGTCATACGAGTGGAAGGTGTCACCATTATGCTGGACTGCACATTGGATCTTTTTGAATTACTCAACTTTTTCCCTTTACCATTGGTTTACAGGTAAGAAGGGAAGCAGCTAGTCCACACCTCTGTTTTATTAATTTTTTTACAGTGAAAGGCTATCTTCAACTCCCTTTTGTGAGTTAAATAATTTCACTAGCAATGAACAGTCCGAAAATAACATCGTAAGTTAATTAATCATTAATTGTAATAATATGTAATTATTTTACGAGCAATTGAGCATCAAATTTTACACTTATATAATTATTTTTACATAATTATTTTATAGTTTCGTGAGATAATTGGTCGTATTCTTATTGACTCTCTTCCACTCGTTCGGATTCCTGAGGTATATGCATGTCTCATTCTCAGTTTCTCATTCTCATTCCTTCTGTATGAGAATGAGTGTATGAGTATCGAAATCACATACGTTATGATTATATTGTAGACAAAGTTGGTCGATTTCTCAATGGTCGACGTGCTCTTGATTTCAAACTGTTTCTCCTTTCTTTCACTCCCTTATCTTTTTGAGGTACTAAACATAATAAGAATTTATTTCTTTACAGTACATGTACTATACATGTATGTGTGCATGTACATGTATGTCTCTTTTTATTTCATTCCTTCCTTTAGTTTATTTTCTCTATAAAATGTTCCCTCTCCCCCCCCCCTCTTTCTCTCTTTTTTTTTCTTTTTCTATCTCTAGTTTGGTTTTTCTGGTAAAGTTTATGCTACAGAGCCAACCAAACAATTGGGAAGGTACTATTAACACTTACATGTATATGCTTGTTAAAGTTGCTCTAAAGGCCCTTGTATTATTATGGGCTGTATAATAGTCCATGCTTTTTCAAAATTTACTTGTTAAAACAGGTGTAACTTCAAAAATTGAAGCTGGAATCAACTCAAACTTTCTACACAGCATAAGAACATCAATATGTATCAGAAAATACAATAAAAATTAGGGGTGATTTTGGAGCCATTTTTTGGAAAAAAGCATGGGCTATAGTACAGGGTATTTTTCAGAATTTTCACATTTTCTTAAAATGGCCGTAACTTGAAAAATTGAAGTTGGAATCAACTCAAACTTTCTACACAGCATAAGAACATCAATATGTATCAGAAAATACAATAAAAATTAGGGGTGATTTTGGAGCCATTTTTTGGAAAAAAGCATGGGCTATAGTACAGGGTATTTTTCAGAATTTTCACATTTTCTTAAAATGGCCGTAACTTGAAAAATTGAAGTTGGAATCAGCTCAAACTTTCTACTCAGCATAAGAACATCAATATGTATCAGAAAATACAATAAAAATTGGGGGTGATTTCGGAGCCATTTTTTGGAAAAAAGCATGGGCTATAGTACAGGGTACTTTTAAGAATTTTGGCATTTTCTTAAAATGGCTGTAACTTGAAAAATTGAAGCCGGAATCAGCTCAAACTTTCTAGACAGCATAAGGACATCAATATGCATCAGAAAATGTAATAAAAATTTGGCGTGATTTCGGAGCCATTTTTTGGAAAAAAGCATGGGCTATAGTACAGGGTACTTTTCAGAATTTTGGCATTTTCTTAAAATGGCCATAACTTGAAAAATTGAAGTCGGAATCAGCTCAAACTTTCTACACAACATAAGGACATCAATATGTATCAGAAAATGTAATAAAAATTTGGGGTGATTTTGGAGCCATTTTTTGGAAAAAAGCATGGGCTATAGTACAGGGTACTTTTCAGAATTTTGGCATTTTCTTAAAATGGCTGTAACTTGAAAAATTGAAGTCGGAATCAGCTCAAACTTTCTACACAGCATAAGGACATCTATATGCATCAGAAAATGTAATAAAAATTTGGCGTGATTTTGGAGCCATTTTTTGGAAAAAAGCATGGGCTATAGTACAGAGTACTTTTAAGAATTTTGGCATTTTTTTTAAAAACAGCTGTATACTACACTCTAGGCAGTTAATGGAGGAATTATGTGAATTTCTGTATCGCTTGCCTACACCATCAAAGAATTGGAGAGATGAATCAATACTACAGTAAGCTCTCAATCGACATATGATGATCATGTGACATTTTTAGATCGTTGCCCGAGTGTGCCGTTAAAACCCTAACTGATGTTAACTCTTGGAAATCTTTTTATAAGCAAGTTATATTATTTTGCATTTTTGTACTATACAAATATACCACACCCATTAATTAAATGTCATTATAGGTCGGATGACATCACATCAGCTATTTCTATTGTTCAAGGAATCAGCTACGGACAAAAACTGGTTAAATGCATTGTCAATGAGCTTATTTATTAATAGTTTTGATGATTGTAGGATCTCTTTGGTTCAGTACAAGCGACTGCTCTTAGTTCGGGGTATTGCCTTGGGAGCTGCAACTGGTTAATGGAGACTAAATATTCAAAGGTGATCAATTATTACTCTTTTTTTCCTCTCCCTTCTTTCTTCTCTCCTCCCCTCTCTCCAATGTATTCTTCTCATTAGATTTCTCTCATTATTTATCCATGAACTCATTACATTAGATATACTGTACATGTACACGTACTCTCATTATTCATCAATACTGACCCTTCACACTATAGATTGGTTATGTGTCTTCTTCCTCCACATTCACGACTCATCCCTGTCCAATGGAGAGACAGTCCCTCTTATCCTGTGATGCGCTCATTCTCTCGTCTCTCACCAACGCTCCGTCAGCTAACCCTGACACAATGCTAGGAGAACTGTGCACTAAAATGGGTTAGTTAATAGGGAGGGGGAGCATCTAATGATTGTAGTGTATTCGTTTCATAGCAACAACACTGAGGGGAGGTGGGAACGTCCTTATACCATGCTATCCTACGGTAAGAGACAGAAAAAAATTATTATGTACTTTAAAAGTTTGTTTAGTTATTGTTGATAATTATATAAAAAATTTTGTAATTTTTTTAGTTATTATTGATGGTTATAATTGATATAGGGCGTGGTTTATGATTTATTGGAGTGTCTCCATACATTTCTCGATAACGCTGGTCTGGTCGGTGTCCCCGTCTACATGATATCGCCAGTTGCAAAAAACTCACTGTCACTTGCTAATATATACGCCGAGTGGTGGGTTTGGTTGTGGGCGGAGTAACTTACTAGTGAGCTTTTATTTTAAGGTTATGCGAAGCAAAACAGTCAAAAGTCTACCAGCCGGAGCATCCTTTCCCTCACGCTGAAGTATTAAAATTAATTAATAATTAAAATTATTTAAGAAATTAATTATAAAAAATTATTATTTTAGTTTTATTTTGCATCTTTTTTTCCAGTTCATTAAGAGCGGACGTTTAAAGCATTTCCCTAACATTTATGGTACATGTTTTTTTTTGAAAAAACGATGTCCTTTATATTCTTATTAGGGGACCTGGGCAATGTGTACCAGACCCCTTGCGTGGTTTTTGCTGGCCATCCTTCCCTCAGGTGTGGGGATGCTGTACATTTCATGGAAGTATGGGGATCATCTTCAAAGAACTCAGTTATATTTACTGGTGAGGAGAGAGAGAGAGAGACAGGAGTTAATTGTAATAGCAAAATAAAAAAAACTTTAATTTTGTAAAAGGTACTTTTCTTATTATTATTATCTATGAAAATTGATGTCTCAAACTTTTAAAGTTTTTTTTTAATTTCATACAGAGCCAGGTTTTGATTATCTTCATGCTCTGACTCCATACCAACCTCTCAATATGAAAGTGAAGACCAGCAGCTTTTATTGTAACCAACTCTTATCTACACTCTTATCTCTCTTTTAGGCTTTCTATTTCCCGATCGATCCTTGTATGAATTTCTTTGTCGCAAACAAACTCCTCAAGGAGCTACAGGTGGGCCTGGCCTGGTCTGTCAATCATTATTAATATTAATATTAATTAATATTAATTATTTATTATTTGTGACATACGTTTTAGCCTCAAGTTCTTATCACTCCTACTGATTATCTTCCGTCGGCAGCTCAGACTCAAAAGGACACAACTTGTCTCCAGCCAGTGAGAGAGAGAGAGAGAGACGCTTTTTCATTTAGTTTAATTTCCTTATTAGGAAATGCCCTTTTATGGTGTTAAAAGAGGGTCGGTCGTTAAAGTGGAGCTGGCATCGAAATACAAGAAGATTGAAATGACCTCTGAAGTAAGATTGCTGAGGGCCGAATACATGCATCTACAATGCAAGTTACAAATTTATTGTCCTAAAGTAAAGTTTCTAGTCAGCAATGCTAAAATTAAAATTTGGCCAATTTTTCATAAAATTAAAAATGTCAAGGTCACCATTGCCCATATAACTTATGCTTTTATGTCACAACTGTAAACCTTTCATTTTATATGTAAAAGCATTCCGTATTTGTACATGTACATACATGTACATGTATATATCTCATTTTTTTCCTTTTCTCTCTCTCTCCAGTTAGCCAGTACTATATTCCCTCAAGAAATTAATCCTGGAGTAATGGCGACCTCACTCTCTGGTCTGCTAACGATAAGGAGTGGCAACAATAAGCTCCACCCACTGCCACACCCAAAACCCAAGAACCTCTGGGGACATACCAATGCACAGTCGCTCATAGAGGCACTGAAAGAAGTACAGGACCTGTATCATGTAATATTATATTATATTTATCAACGATTATACAGCATGGTATTACAGATATTGTTTTAGACAAGAAGAACAATCAAGACATCGTTCAAATTGTTAGTGAACCTATAATAGTATCTTCTCTAATACTTGTATTCCCCCTCCTCTCTCTCTCATACAGTTGGGTGGAAAGGCTAGTGTATGCTTTAATGATGGCGAGACTATCATTCAAAACTGTCACGACGAGAAACTAAGATTACTGCTAAAGGATATGTTGCTAAGACAGCTTATTCAACTTTAAATTTTAACGTATATACATGTACATAACAAAAATCATTAAAATTGTACACTTTGTTTCTCAAATGTTTTAAATAGCAATGATAATTAGAGAAAAGTTGATTTTCTATTTACAAAAATCCTTCAAATAGATTCCTACATGTACTATGGGGTTCCTTATTGTTCAGACATAGGGTCTGAGATGGTTAGATTTTGCAACATTTCCTCGACCCCTATCTGGGGGTAAGACTCCTCCTCCTCCTCTCCTGTCAATCCTCCATTTTCAACTGGAACAACTCCATCATTTGGCTCTGGAATGAAAATAAAGACAATAAAATAAAAAATTAAATTATTTTTCTCACTCATGTAAATATTAATGTCTTGACGATAAGTCTTGTCCTCTTCAAGATCCTCCATAAAGTCCAGAAGATCTCTCTCTTCCTCTCCTTCCTCCATCTTGTCCTCTGTCTCTTTCGGTAGAGACTGAAGCTCCCATTTTCTCTTCCTATGTCTTCTCAGACGATCACCGTACGCCTTTTTCACCAAAACCTATAGATCCACAAGAAACAGTACCGTATAGCAGGTATATTTCGTCTGGAAAAATGTTCGTTCTAAGCAGGATTAGAAATTTTCGTTCGTTTTATTTTCGTTCTGAGCAGCCATTTTGCACACATGACATTGAGGAAACGCCCTTTTCGTTTGGAAAATGTTCGCTCCACAAGAAATGAGAACGAAAAGAACGAAATTCAACTCGAACGAAATATACCCGCTATACGGTAATTGTATAGGCATTGCAATTGCTTTACATGTACATGGATATTTTTATTATTTTAATCTCCTTACCACATCAGGTATCTCAGTTGTCTTTAATTTATCAAAGTGTTCATTATTCAGGTTGGCTCTGGTAAAGTCTACTCCTAGGACAACATCCCCCGTATTAATAAAGTGTCCAAGGTGAGTCCGACAGTACATCTGACGGTCCAGTTCCTCAAGGGGAGCAACCCATGCCTCAGAGAGAACGTGTTTCCTGCTGCCGCTACGAGACACAAACTGACCAGGGAGTACCTCGATTTGTAGAACTAGGAACTGTGTCAACTGGCGATGATCAAAGAGAGAGGTGAATGGAGTCCTCCAGTATATGTCAGAGGACATCTCTGCCACTGTAATAAAGAGAAGGTATTCTTACTTTTGAATTATTGGGACTTTTAGTGGTGGTTTCCCACAAAGCAGCTAAACAGCATGAGCTTCATGAGCTGCACTACATGTACGATATGAAGCGACTTTAAAAATTCATTAAAAAATCCAAAATTGATCGGAATTAGCTCAAACTTGATATACAACATATGTACTTGTATATGTATCAGAAAAAATTATAAAAATGAAGAATTCTCTCCTAGTCATTTTTCATGAAATTTGGCCAAAGTTACTGTACTATAGTACAGGGTCGTTGACCAGATTTTGGAGCAACTTCAAAAAATCATAAAAAATCCAAACTTTATCGGAATTAGCTCAAACTTGATATACAACATAAGTACTTGTATATGCATCAGAAAAAATTATAAAAATGAAAAATTCTCTCCTAATTATTTTTCATGAAATTTGGCCAAAGTTACTGTACTATAGTACAGGGCCGTTGACCAGATTTTGGAGCAACTTCAAAAAAT